AGATATGAATTGTTCCGAGAAATTTATCGACAAAAAAACACACGAGCGAAGCCGGGTAATTTAGTTATGTATGCAAGTATGATTATAAGGTACTTAACCCTAACCCATTTGACGATACAGTCGAATCGCGATAACTCGAACCTCAATAACTCGAAAAACTTGACAACTCGATTTTTTTTTTATTCTTCTAGAAATGCTCGTAACACTCAATGCATTATAAGTCTTAATAACTGGAATATAAAATCGTGATGAATAGCTTAGTCGAAGTATATTATTATATCTGTGATATCTGGGTATTTCGTAATATTTTGTTTTATCTGCTTGAAGATTAAACGAGTATATAGAAATCGATTATCAGCGCATGCAAAATAACCGTAAGTATACGTATATTTACGGTTAGTACGTGTCTACCCATTGCGTTTATTTTGTATGTTTTTAAACATGTCTCAAAAACAATAATTAAATCCTTTAACTTCTATATTCGAAGCCATAGGAAAATTAAAAGATTTTGACAATAAACAGCAGAAAACCCAAAAATTAATTACAAATTATTTTTTTACTGTATCTAATAAACAATGCATATGCACATACTTATAATACCATTGTATTTATTTTAGTTTTTGTATAACATTTATTTACATATATTTATCATATATTTTTATAATTTTTATATTTCATTATATTTTATTACGTAACTCAAAGTTTTGATTTAATTTTAATAAACTCGAGTTAGGTATCTCGAATAATATGTATCTCAAAGTGTATTTTTATCCCTCTTCAACTTCGAGTTATCGCGACTCAACTGTACATAAAATTTAAGCTACGTTTATATTATATATAATATGCATGATATGTAAAAGCTACATTATAAAAAAAATATAGTAAGTACCTGTAACCAATAATAATTTTCAAAGGTCGAGTTATATAAGCATGATATCGATTTCTCACATTTTTTATATGCGATTAAAGCGTCTTTTATTTTCGAAGAGATTGATTTTTTTTTTAAAGCATTTTCTCCACTTCTTAACGCTAAATTTCGTTGATCGTTACATTTAATTATTTGATCTATTTTTTTTTTTTTTTTATTGAATTGGTGAAAATAAGTTAAATGGTTCAATAGGTTCTCGTAAAACATCGTTGTTTATTAAATAATTCTTAGATCCTTAAAATGTCTATACATTTATATTATTGTTGATATTAATTAGTACATTAACGATTTCAGTAAAAGTTTTCATAGAAACAGTTACTTTTAAAGTTTAAGAAATTTATGCTTAAGTTAAAATATTATTACTTTTTTGCTTATCAAGGTGGTATTAAAATATATTCAACAATATCTTTCATATAATTATTAGTTGTTAGATTACCTTAACATTAAAGATTTAATAGATTATTTGGACATTTATTGCAAAGCTTATATTTTGTTTGAACATTTTCTGAATTAGCCGGTTAAAAATATGACATATTGGTAGACGTACGATAATGAGTGTGAATGTGTGTGTATGGAAAAAAAATAAACAAATATTAGTATTATTTTTATATAATATAATAATTTTTGTATACACATATAAAACAATTACATTTGAATTATCAACTAATTTCTAACTACTATAATAATTAACAAGCTTATTATTGTTTATTATACTAACCTTTGCATAGCAATTTTAACTTTAATTTCTTAATATTATTAAAAATTTTACAGTAAGTATATTAAATTACTAATCTAAGCTACTTATATAGTATTTCATTGAAATAACTAAATTGTAAATTTAAAAATTTATACATGGTAAAATTATGATAATGCTAATGATATGATTCTTGCAAAAAATAATATGAAAACTTGTACATTTAGAATTATGCTTTTACATTTTAGTCTATGATATCTACTAATTATAATAAATAGAGCAAAGACTTTTATAAATCGGTAAATTTTTTCTGGTATGTAAGTACATAAGAAATCAATTATTCGAATAAAGAAGTGAATATTTGACTATTTTTAGTGTATATTTTGAATATTTCATACATATAGAGTTTAAACTATTAAGAGCATATTATTTTGATTAAAATGATCTAAAATGGTAATATAATTACATTTGTTTCAAAGACAGTTTTAAAACATATTTTAATTTTAGCTATGAATAAAAGTGTAACTATTTTTGGAAGAATTTTTATTCAGATTTCAGAAATATGATGTAAGAGTGAATGTTTTTAAATAATTTTGTACCTATTTAATGATTTTATATAGCTTACTAAGCATGAAAGTCTTTGCTTTTATTATAAATAATAGTTGACCCAGCAAGCAAAGTATAATTTGTTTGTACTCAAACTTTATTCTTGAAAATTAAAGAGTAAATATAATGCAAACAATATTCTGTATATATTTTTGTTTTAAAATAAACGTCGTGGCTTAAACATAAATTAAACGTATTTGAATGATATAACACATATGATAAATTACGAATCTTAGAAAAAAAGAACCAGAAAATTTATTTTAATTTTAATATTATATTACAGTTATTACCAACAGTGAGACAATATATTATAGTTTTAAAATTATACTTTATTTTTGTGAATTCTGAAACATTTACGTTCAATAATTTTACAGGTATTTTATTTGTCGGTTCTGCTTGCTTTATTGTTATTATTATTTTTTAATATTTAGTGTTATTGTTTTTAGTATAATTATTTTACAAATTTGAATAAGGTAACTCCTTGCTTAATAAATTAAGACATTTGAAACCATGAGATTCATAATAATTATAGTTAATGATTCTTTATACGTATTTAAGGTTCAGTTATAAAAGAAATTGGTTTTGAAATAGTCGGGAGCATAATTTTAGTTATTTTCTATTAAGCTTTGCCACACTTGCAGTATGCAAAATATTAGACATATTGTATAATGGTAACTAATATCGAATGACAAAATATATTAAATATAAACGAGTGTCAATGTGAAAACAAACACCTATGGTAACTTATTAGTTAACGGTTGGAAGCAATATAATATAATGCTTTGAAATGTTCTTGTCTGTAATCGAAAAAAAAAAATAATGGAATAATATTGAAACACGTCAATAGCTCGTTATAAAGGAGTCTTAAAATTTGCTCGTCTTGAAATATGTAAAATATCTCTACACTTGTCTTATTATACATATATTATAAATATACATTTTCTATACAATTCGAAAACCTGTAGGGAAATTTGAATCGCAATAAGTGTCACTTAAAGGGTTTGACTAAAAATGATTCGTTGACATATGACTGAAATCATTCAAGCTACTCGTTTGCCATTATTTTCTTTTCTTTTGTGGAAATGCGTACATACGTCAGATTGTACATTCCATTTGTTACCATTAAAATGTGCCAACATAGGATACCAAAATTATTTACTTAGCATACAGCGGTATAATGGCTAGGAAAATTATATTAAATTGTAGATCATGTAAGTTATAGAATTTGAACACCAATAACATGACAATATTATGTATTAATATTAAAAGTATATAACTCGATTTGGAACGATTTTTTTTATATGCTAGCATGAGATCAATTTGTTAAAGTGGGAATTGTTCAAAATATTAGTGCACACTATTTGAATCTATTTTTTTCTGTGAGGCAAAGCTGCAGAAAAAAAAATTAAGATATTTTATCGTAGATGTCATATACTTTTGTTTAATCACTACTCACCATTGACTTAAAAAGAATCGTTAGAAAAAAAATACATATTATATAAATTTAATTGAGCACATACGTAACGTTATCGCAGGTAGTATAATAGAAACAAAAATATATAAAAAGCAAAATTTTTACATAATTACAAGTATTTATTATATTTTAATTAATACAGCATATGGGCAACGTTATATTTTATAGGTATAAGGGATTACAAACTGATATTATTCAGTACAAAAACATAAATTTTATCTTAAGGTTTACTTTAGTTCAAATTTCTTAATTGTCAATATCGTTGGTTTTAATTTATCATAAATTTGATTTTAAGATCTTAAAATTGTATAAATTAAAGTTGAGAAAAACTAAATTTTTAAGTTTGTTTTTTGTGTTTGATGTTCAACAATATGATAGTTATAATTCACAAAAATACCAAAGTACAAGTTGCAAATAAGTTATAAACAACGTAGAATCACGTGATAGTTATTGCTTAAACTCTAATGATCATTTCGTATTTATTCTTCAGAAAATGGACTGTTTGCGATCTCCTAATATTAATATATATATTACTTAGTATTAAAATATCTGTTAAAAGATAAAATTAAATTTATAGTTTCATATCGTGATAATAGTTAAATATATACAATATTGGAGCAGTAAAAATATTAAATGTACAACCTTTAAGCACATTCCATAAACATATATAATACATACAACAAAGTTGGATAAATGATGTCGGTGAACCAAACACGATACCTCACTTTTTTGTTTTATAATGAGTTTATTCAAATTTCAATATTTGGAATATTTTTAATACATAATAATGGCCATATTTTCAAATACTTAGAATGTTTTACTATTTAAATAGTATTCTAAGGTAAGATAAACCTCTTTTTTTATACAAGAATCAACCTTTTTTACTGTAGATCATTTTTAAGAAAACATTAATATATTTAAAACAACATTTGTACAAATATTTACAAGTAATTTCTGAGTTTTAAAAATGTGAATAAATTATAAATACTGATAAGGATATTAATGGTCCTTATGTACTTGGAAAATCTTTAAAAATTATGAAATATTTATGGATTAATATATTACTTATATTTTAAAATAGTCATATATTTTATGCTTATTATTAAGGATACAAGGACATTTTATTTATGGCACAAAAAATTAAAACACATAGTTATTTTTATTTCAATACTAATGAAAAGATTATTTTTTATTCTTCAAAAAAGAGTTGGTATCACTATACACTACACACTACAGAATACTCTTTAAATGATATAAAAATCAAAATAAATGAAAATATAAATTTAAAGTTAGTATATTTAGAGTTCAAAAATCGAAAATTGAATTGTTAATTTGGATACAATGGGAAATAGTATGATCATGGTTGCTGAATATATCTATATAAAAAAAACATATTCATATCGGCAATCTCGGAGTTGAAATGTTCTAATATGCCCAGAATAATGACGTAGTTCCGTTAATAAATGATTGTTGTGACCTTGTCTATTTGTAAAATACATAAAATCATAAAATAATAGTTATGTGTTATTGAAATGTACTTATTATAACAATAGAGATTATCATCAAAATCTGATAAATACGATAAGTTTTCAATCATTAATTGCATAAAAAAACTTAAAATTACCACAGAAAATTAACATTTTTAGAGTAGACGTAGGAAAGTTTTGTAATATGTAATTTAAATGGTAATGAGAAAATACACGAATTAAATAATTTCCACTAATGTCATAACTGTTGAATTATGTAAATTTTAATTTTAAGCAAATATACAGTGTTGGTTATATTTCTTGTGCGCAATAATATATTATTTATACTTAAATAGTCATCACCGTTACAGTAAGCCGTCTAAGTGAGAGACATTTCGCGCGGAGATATACTCATTATAATAATACGGACCTGCAAAAATGGACAGAAACGCTATCATAGTAAATTGAAAAAAATAAGATTATTATAAAATAAATAAGTTTAATATATTTATTATTTGTCCAACGTAATGTAAAAAATAAATACGACATTCATTGGAGGCACTGTCTCTGTTTCGCAACGAGACATGAATTATAAAATCTTCTACGTCATTAACTTTCGCTGCAGAGATTGAATTCAGATATTTCACACTGTTAATACTATCATAATTCAGTTTTTTGACAGAACTTCGATTTCTATTAGTTTGTTATCATAACGGATTATTTATATTTTTTTTTGTTTAAAGGTAATCGAAGTCACTGTAAAACGATACTTAAAGGGTGAAAGTACGCATATCATATTGAATGTCAAAAATGTATTATTATTTTTGACAGAAGAGTAAAACGTTTGCGTTTAATAAACAACTACCGGTCGATAAGTACGCCTCGCACAATAGTAAGTACACAATATTTTACCATACTGCTTATTTACGTTTCCTTATTTATTTTTTAAAGCTGCTGTTACTATTAAATGATAACAATAAATAGCTACTTAATTTATACTGGTAAAAGATTAACATAAATAAAATAAATATGTATGCAAGAAAGGGATGAAATAAATAAAATTATTATTGTGCACGTCGGCGTTGTAACCACATTTGATTTTAGATTATTTTAAAGTTTATCAATATTAGAATGTCATATATTATAATAAAAAAAAAAAAAAAAAAAAAAAAAAAAAAATAATGCTTGTTTGATTATCAATATAAAAGAAAAAACACTTGAAAAGTAGTAGTTTTAATAATTGTTTTAAGTGCGCATAAAATAATTAATAGATTAAACATCACGGATTACTAAAACGCATGAAATTCAAAGTTAGTAGGTAGGTACCATTTAATTATATTTCACAAAGCAAACATGACCCGAACATAAATATAAATAACATAAATACACAATATTAATTAGTTATTATATATTACAATATATAGTACAATATATTAGTTATTGCGAATTATAAACTGTATATAACGATCGAAGAAAATTTGCAGATATCGAAGGGTTACCAGATCAAAATAATACCTATTTACTATGTAAACATGATTTATGTACTAAATTATATATTGTAAAACACGTGGATACTCATTTTGTTGGGGTCATTTGCATTTAGATAAGTTTTATAGTGAAAGATTAACATAAATTTAGACGACAATAGCCCATTCAATTGAGTGGAGTTTTGATTTTAATTCATTATTTATTTTTATTAATTTAATCTTGGATCACGAAAATCAAATAATTTGTTGTCTATTTATAGGGTTTTAATTGGTTATAGAAATAAATAAATTAAAAAAAAAAAGTGTTTAGGCTATGGTTGATACGTCATGTGATGATATGGAATTCTTTTAGGTATAAGAAAATAATATTTAATTGTGTGCTTATAATTTTTATTAGTCTATCTGTATATGTCGTTTACCGACTCAAAAACGACTTCACCGACTTTGACTAAAGTTTTGGAAGTTATTTTTTAGATATACTAGAAAATTTAAACCGTAGTTTAAAGTTAAACTATTTTTGGTACACCTATTTTGTCTTAGGGGGAGAACAGAGTGTTTTAAATTTAAAACCATGAATCATTGAATACAGATTATTAGTAGAAAATTTATCGCCTTTGATCTCAGTGACGTAATTTTAGGGGGCCGGTAAGGTGGAAATTTCGTCATTGGTGAAAAAATAATAAATATTGGTTTTTTTTCGAGAAACTAAACTAAAATATTGTGTAGGTACTTTTTAGAAAAAAATTGTTGTCCTGGTAATAATATTAATATTTATGATTTTTAACTCAAAAATGATATAAATGCGTTGATGATTTATAATATATTATACTACATAACGTTGTAACTAATAAATGTGTGAGGGTTTGTTGTGCAAAGGAACATAATATTTTACCTGTTTATAAAATGTGTTTTTAAGTATAAGCATTAATACTGTTTATTCATTTTCTTCTAATAAATGAAATGAAGTGGTTTTTGTTAAGGTATACTACAGTTACCAACATTTATATGTGGGCATGTGTAACAACAATATAATTATTAATATTATGGTATCATAATTTTATTTCTGAAATCAATTTATTTTTTCGTTTTAACACTATAGATGTTAGTATATCATATATAAATGAATATATTATCAAGTTATGAACACAGTCATGAACATAAAACGAGTATTTTTAAATTCATGAATGATTTCTGAAAAAACCTAGATATTGGTTTAATTTTAAATTAAGATTTCGATTTTTAGCAGTCGTATTAGAATTGTTGTTTATTTTGTTCGATATCTCTGGAAATAATTTAAATTACGTCACTGAGGTAGGTGGTAGATTCTATACATTTGAATTAGTCCTCACTTATTTTTATTTTTTTTTTTATTTTTTGCTAAAAAATTATGATATTTCTGTCTCTAAACACAATATAATATTATTATGTACTTATGCAAGACGGAAATCGTAACGGGATAAAAAAAAAAACCTAAGTAAAAATCAGCTTGCAGCAAACGAAGAGATTGGGTTTTCGTTTGCCACAGTCACATGGGATGGTTAAAACTCTCGTACTTTATTATTGTGCAGAATGAAATGACACCACTACCGAGGTTCCATCTACACAACGCAACTCTACGGCCTATCGCCATCGTACCTATATGACGGTGTTGGTGTCGTTGAGCCCAGCACAGATGAGCACCGTCGTGGTAGCCGTGGTGGTAGTGTGGTTCGTGTCTCCGGTCCGCCTGTTGAACGTGCTCAACTGCACGTTAGCTATGGTGGTCGAATCGTTGTTGATGGTTCGGTCCTTCTCTCGGGTGCCGTTCTTTCGGCGCATGTAGCCGTTTTTGGACTCGGCGATTTGGCCACCCGGCGGCTTGACGAGCCACCAGAACAGCAGCCGGTCGAAGTGCTTGCGAAACGTGCCGCTGACTAGGTAGAGGGCGATGGGGTTGATGCACGAGTTGCTGTAGCACAAGCAGAAGCCGGCGATGCGTAACACGTGCCAGAATATGTTGTATTCGTCCTGAGATCTTGGGTTCAGGTAGAACCACAGCATGAAAACGTGATAGGGCAGAAAGCACACAGCAAACACGAGAACGAACGCCAGAACGGTCTTGGCAACTTTCTTCCTAGCTCGGATTTGGCGCATCTGTCCCTGAAAATTAAGTGAAATAATTTTGTGAATTTTATTTTATTTTTTTTTAATCAAAAAGTCGATTTCGAGCGCATTGCTCATTTGATTAAACATTTTTCGAATTGTAGTCCTCAGACTAACACTTCGGTAATAACATTGATCGTGAATTTTGTGACAATTTAGTTTTTTGTTTTTAGTTTTATTACACCATTAATTTGATTCACGTTGGTATTTTATGGTACGAGTGATTTTTCACTTGAAAAAAATAATACTGCATAGCAGTAATTATTAATTGTAGGTATATGTGATATCAGTTATCATCCTTAGTTCAAATTGTTTTCATGTCTCACTATATCATATCATACTCATTTAATTAAAAAAAAGCGAACAACAAAAAATGTCTTTTTATTTGCCTATAAGGTTGTAATAAAACTAATTGTTTGTTTGGGAAAAACTATCATTTAAAAAAATTTATTATGATAATAATTTTTTTATTTATGTTATTTTACATATATTTTGTTTACTCGTGTTATTATTTGATAATTAATTTAAAAAAATTTATCATTTTTTGAAAATTCTTGTTTACTTATGTCAATATTTTTTTCATGTGTTTCTAGTTAATAAAATATACGTATACGTTTCAGAACATGTCAAAAAAGTGGGGTCGACGGTAAAATATTGAATTCATTAGAATTTATCACCAATTAAAACTAATATTTTATATTAAATTAAATTAATATTAGAAATTAGCTATGGAATACTGTATATAACATAATTATCATTTTTATATATTTACATATAAATTTTAAATGAAACAAGTTATGTTTTGGTCATGAATAATAGTTTTTTTTTTTTTTTATTGTTTTTGTTTGCTTTTATTTCATGATATTTTACATTAATTATTCATAATGTACTTGTGACAAAAACAACGGAAAATCAAAAACAAAAAGTAACATTTTCTGTATAAGTTTTTATCGAAGTTAATTGGTGTTGTATAGTTGTGATTATCAGAAATAAATAAAGCAATAATCATATTATTTGATTGTTATTTAGTCCTACAATTTTTACCAATTGATTATTCAAAAATATTAATAATAATTACTCGATGGTTTGCTTTAAACATATTTAATCTATTTTATGATTTTTTATTTTAATGCATATAAATAACAACGACATCGGTAGAAAAAATATACCTACAGGAACCATTACGTGATTGTGTTCTCGAATACTATTTGAATTTGAAAACGAAAGAAATCGTTGACAAAAATATTTTATTAGTGTTGTTAGAGAATTTTGTTATGCAATCACAATGCTTTGCATTGTTGATTAATTAAATTATAAGACAACAAAATTATTGTTTTAATACAAAATACCAATTAGCTTAAAATAAATGTTGATGAAATTTGGAAATAAATTTAATTTTGTAAATACAAAACAAATTGTTGTATAATTAATTTTCCTAGAAGAATATTTATGGCCGTGTCGTTAAGAACTAATATGTTCGTATTTTCTTATTTTATAAAATTTATATAGGCAAGGTTTGCTCACGACAAATACGTATTATGAAACAATCACTAATCCATGGAAAGATTAGACCATTATTTCAATTGTATTGTTGATTGTTATCCAAGATAATTGAATTGTAACGAGATGCGAAATAAATACCTATAGGATTTAATACGATTTTGGAACGATCAACAATTTTTAGAGAAAATTGAAAAATCGATTGAATAATAAGAAGCGTAGATTTACTTATATGCACACACTTTTTTGTATATAACACAAAACGGCTTGAAATAGTAAATTAAGCTTACCTATAAAATATTACATTTATTTTTAGTATCGATAATAAATATAATTTTATAGGACACAAAATCCTGGGTCCTGACGTATAGATAAATTAACATGTCTTAGAATAAATAAATGCCTTTTTTTATTTTGATGACTATATTATATATTTATATAGTATAATTTATCTATCTATTATATCTATAAAACCAATACATATTTTCGAGAATGATAAAATGAATTAAAGTATAGAGTAGTTAGTAGCTTTTGAGTTATTCAACGTTGTTTACAAAAGGTAATAAGTCTATATAGTAATGAGTTTTGAAGTAATTTGAGAATTGTATTAATAAATATTTCTAATTTTTGAAAATAGTTCATGTAGATATGTAATATAAAATAAATACTAGATCCAATATTACAAATATTTAATATTTTTTCACACCCACTTTTAAGGTCTTCTACTTTAAGAATAATTATTTAAATAATTAAAACAATTACTCGTTTAAATTTTTAATTGGGAATATTTAATTTTCCAAAAAAAATATCAGTTAATAATTTACAATAAAAATGGGGATTTTAGTTTGAAAAACAGAAGTTGGTTTCATCACAAATAAATTAATAGTTTAAGAAAATTTAAAAATTTAAAAATATCGTCTAATAAGGAAATTTTAAAATTCTAAAAATCAAAACTTGAATTAATTTATTATTAGGAAAAAATGGGATAAGCATGCTTAGCAAATCATCCTATGTATTTATCCAAAGCGATTCACAATTTATGTTAAAGATATTTTATCTTTATATAAAAAACGATTCTAACATTCATTATTTTAAAATCTATTAATGTTTTTCTTAAATAATTTTCAGTGGAAATTAAATTAATAAACATTTTTTTTTTAAATATTTTCTATTGTAATATTTTTTCAAGTTTTTACTTTTTTGAATGAAAATGTACATTTTTAATTTCTTATTCTCTCAAAACGTTACTTTTTTTCTCGATTAACTACAACTTTAAATACGTATAGCTAATAAAACCTTTCGTTCAAATTTTGATTTTACGTAGGTATCAAAGGTATCAAAATACTTAAAAAAAATATATTCACATTAGAATTATAAAAAAATATAGGTTCCTTTTGAATAGTTAACCCCAAAACCCCATTCCCCAAAATATTGTGAAAGAACATAAATATTACTAATAATTTTAGATATTTTTAAGTTAAAAAAATTGTTTGAACTAATATTTATTCTTTATCATGATAAAATAGCTGAAACATCAATTTTGACCATTCTGTATGTATATATATAATAGAACGGGACTGCAGTAGATACATTTTTTGTATGTCGTATAGACGATAAATTATCGGATGAAATTAATCGATTCAATATTCAGTGTATCATACGTATGTAATATTTGACGAGGACCGCGCTTTGTAACCGTATGATGATAACCAATTCTATACGAATGTACTGTATACTATTATTATAGTTCGGCTATGACATTTTTGTCGCAAAATGTATCGGATACAATACGTACGGCACACACGCGATGCGTTTGCTAATAGAAAACGCGCAATTGTCTCGAGATCGCATATATACTCGCTAATCGTTTACCAATTTCGAGCAGCGTATACGGTCAACAGTATATATAGGTACTCCCCAAAGGGCAATCGATTACAAATGGACCCCGTAGCGTCTATTTTTTTAATATTTGTTTGAAATAATAATATATCCTTTATTGCTGGCGTCGCGTCGTTGCCCGTGTACGTTCCTCAGCGGGACGTTCCATGTTATTGGGATTTGACGTTTGAAATGCGTGAAATATTTAATAAAAACCGTGTACATTATAGCACACGCGCACGCAAACGTCGGCGTTTTATAGCGTGATATTATTATATGCCCGTGAACTCAATATCAAATGTATGTTTTGGACGTCATCCAGTGTTCCCGACCTCCGTGCGACACATAACCAATGGGTTGAAAAGAACAAAGAAAAAATTCATACTTATCATTGATTATACGTAAAAGTATAATTTTGTTCTGCGGCCAAAGCGCGTGAAATAAAACCGTTCGTTTTTTACTTGTCGCGATAAATGGAATTTTTTTAGTAGGACTAGTTTCGACGTTTACGACTTATGTTTAAAATTGACCGGATTAGAATTTTATGTAGGTACTTTAAAACGTATTTTTCGATCGGATGCGTTTCAGCCATTTGATAATATTATACCTATGTATAAAACTGCAATACTGTATACACAATGAATATAATTTTTAATTACACGCAAATTGCATATAAATATTTAAATAACATATATAAGTGATAAAGGGAACAAGCGAACTGCATATGCTGGAAGTATCAACGTGACGCTCCATTGATTATATTTTATTTACGTTAAGACGGATAAAAAAATAAATAAACCGTAAATATATTACGTCTATAGAGATTAATATATTAGCGCGCAGCGGTCATGTTCTTTTTTTTTTTGGAAATCAACAGTTAATAGTTAGGTAAATCAGTACACATTTTAAAGTTTACGAATTTATCCTGATTCAAATGCCGTAAACGTAATAATATGGTTCGTACACAACACACGCACGTCACCCGTAATTAAACGTGCGTGTAATACACTACTTATAAGGAATCTAAACTGTATACTATCGACGAGATTGAATTACCTACATAATTTATTTATTCTATTCCTGTACTGTATGAAGTAAATTTCGATTTAATATATTTCGAACATAAAACGGTTTGTTGAATAAGAACCACGAGATTTAGAGATTATGTCTTATTATACATTTTTGTTAACCGTTTTTGGAATAGATAACAATATTTAGGTTAAAATACGTATTTTACAAATCCGTTTGTTTAAATTAAAAATTCCATAATCTCTTTTTCGAGTGAGTGATCAATATTTTAAATCATACAATTAATGTAATCAGTAAAATAACTGATAATCATAAACAATATCTCAGCACTATTAAAAGGGTTTAAAAACTTATAGTTTTCTTCAACAAGGATTATGATCAAACAAAAATCACAAAAGATACGTACCTATATTTGCATTCCTCTTATAAACTATAAATACTTAATGTACTTTCTAATAAATTAATAATGTTTATTATAACCAAATCCATGTTAACAACTCAAATTACATGCCTTAAAATTTCTTTAAAATTTAAAATTTAAACCTCGAATTTATGTTTTTCCACCTACTCTATGTCTTAAAAAGACTTGC